TGAAAATACAAGACTAAGTGGAATCATTGCCTGACTCTACGTTTTTTTTTTATAATTTAAATTTTATTATTGAAACTATAATTATTCTTCACAACAATTACTTTTCAAGTTTCACAAATGACTGTTATTTTCTTATAAAGTATTAAATCTTAGCGTGCAGCAAAATACAAAACAAGACTGATCTTCCAAATAATATTGTTAACTTTTCGATTTTTTTCATGAATGTAGCGAATAATTGATGAAAATTATGTTGGATTTATATGCAGGATGTTAATTTTTCGCCAAAAACTATTATTTTTTTAAAATAATTTTTTATTCAGCAATAGATTCTTAGCAGTAAATTTTTGATACGAGAAAATGACACAAGTCAAGTAGTACGAGTTTGTGGTACAAATAGTATCCCATACAAATTTTCACTTATACAGTTTCACGTCAGTCTAAAATTTCTTCACGTTTAGACTCATCCTTAACAAATAACGTCGTGATTGGTTCAAGATTTGACGGTAAATTTCTCAAAAAGGGGTGACTCAATGCTGCTTTTGCATTAATGCGTTCTTCTGGTGCATACGACAGCATTTGCTGTAAAATAATAAAACTTTAATATATATCTAAATACCTTTAAATTTGCATACTTATGCAAAAAATATATAATTGAGCAAAAATTGCATTCTACTCCAAATCATTTTTATTAACCATTGATGGAATCTTGAAATACTACCGCCAGCAAGTCTAGACCGTCATCATCTAGTCTTGAAACATAGTCTGACAAGAAACAATTCTCCCACAGAGGAAAATCCACCTTATAATCAATACACTTTGTGAAATCAGGCCAGATCTAAAATATATCATAAAATTAATCTCATTAGCACTTGCTGTACATCATAATGTTAATTAGATTTGCAACTGATAAACGATAACTGCTTATGATCAAAAGAAAAATGACGCTATCATATTTCTGCTAATAAGATATATATAATCAGAATCACTTTTTCAGTTGGAGTTCCCATAATCTTGAAAATTGTGTATAATTGACTAATTTCACTATCTGCTTGGAAGAGGGGTTTAGATCTGACTAATTCAGCAAATATACAAGCCACACTCCAAATATCCACTGCTGTCGTGTAGAATTTTGCATGAAGGAGAATTTCTGGGGCACGATACCAAAGAGTCACTACCTATATTAAAATTTTATGAATTGCTACATAAAAACATTCAGTGAACTACAATAAAAAGTACTGGATATGACAGATAAATGCTACTGAAAAATTTCAATTGCTTCTATCTTAAATTTTAAGATACATGTATACATATATAGCTCAAATGATAAATATTTTTGAAAAAAATAAATATTTTAAAATACGTAAATATGTGTATCTTAAAAGGTACTATGAGAACCAATCATTTAGTTTCAATTTTTTTTCCGTTAAAAATATTTGGTATATTTATCATTTGAGCTTAAGAACAAAATGTGATATATTTATCAAATGATAATTTATCAACTGATAAATATATCAAATCTTGTTCTTAAGCTCAAACGCTTATAAAGGCATAAATGTGCCTACCTCATGAGTATAACATCTCGATGGTATGTTAAATGAACGTGCAAGACCAAAATCAGTAATTTTCACATTACCATTATTCGCAACCAAAATGCTCTCTGGTTTTAAATCTCTGTGCAGCACACGGCTAATATGACAAAGCGCAAGAGCTCGCAATATTTGGCATAAAAAGGACTGAAATGATTACATTTCTGAACCTATTTTTCAATATTAAACCCGAAAAAATCTCTTTAGGAATGCTATAGCTTGAAATTACATTTTCATTTAAGTTACCTTAATGTATTGAATAGGCAAATATCCAGGTCGTAATTTATCAATAAGCGTTTTTAGATCGTAATCAGCGTGTTCATAAATCATATATATACTTTTGAATCCTATAAAAATATTTTAATGTGACTTTTGGGCAAAACCAGGAAACATATTTTAATCACAGAAATTTTACTCTGTCAAAACAAATTTTTAAAGCTAGAATTTATTTACCAAGTCGAAATTAATCAATAATTTTAGACTATAACAAAATTGATATATTTGGCATTTATGTCACATTTGAATAAGTATGCAAAACAAATGCAACTATTCAAAAATTTATTTTTTTTATTTTTGAAAAAAAAACATTTTGAAAGCTAATAGTGTTTCATATATTCACCCACCATTATTAGGAATAAAGTCCAATACTTTAACAATATTTGGATGGCTGATTTCTTTCAAAATTGATATTTCGCGCAGGCAATGTGAAGGTATTCCATCGCGACTGAAAAATTTATCCCGTAAGTGTTAAAAACAATGAAAAAAAAGAATTACTGGTAAATTTAGAGAAAAAAAAAAGATTTAAAAAGATGTATTATCACCTCAGCACATATCCGAGTAGCAGTTAAGTTGTAAACACAATTACTAATAAATTAATTCATTTAAATCAAAATTGAGTTACCTGTCCAATTTGATCACTTTTATGGCAAAACATTCTTGTTGATCAACATCGTATGCTTTATAAATAGTGCCATATGTTTCATTTCTAATCAACTGACAATTAGAGAAAACATATGTTCCAATAACCAACTCCGATGGTTCTTTCTGAAGTTCATTTATATGAGTCGTTCGAGCCATTTTCAAATGTCTGCAATTAAAAAAGAATCAAATTTATGAATTTGATCATTTAATTTGAAAATAACGCTATGAAAAATTTGATAAGTACTGTAAATTATTTATTCTAATTCTCAAGTTGACTTATTAATGGCTAAATTAGATTACTATTTTTCGGTATCTGAGGAATACAAGTTAAAAATAACTTTGTTTTAAATACAAAATAAGGACAAAAATCACAAATCCATCAAAAAATAAGACACAAAAATTAAGTATTCTGAGTATTAGAGATTACAAAAATTGTTTAGCATAAATACTTTAAACGTAACAAATTTTCAAAACGCTAAAAAAATTCGTAAACAAAATAGTGTGACAATCTATGCGTGTAAAAGTAAACAATATTCTGAACTTAGAGATAAGTAAAACAGTTTTGACTATTAGTAGTTACAAATTATCACAAGAATTGATGCTTTTAACAGTGATCATTTTTGATATTTTTTGTAATAGTTACTCGTTACAATATTGTGATATTTATAGCATATACTTAATCATAAAATATTCAAACTCAAGTAAAAACTAAAAGAATAGTTGTAGATGAATTTAGGTAAAATCAAAAATAGATGGAGGAACAAATATATTTAAATGAGCTAGAAAACGAAATCAAATAATTTGAATAAAAGAATAATTAGTGCATATTTTTTCCAAAATATTAATTAACGCTAAGAGTATTATTTTTACGCAAACAGTACTTCTGAATTAGTATTTATTCTAGCGCAAAAATACCTGATAAGAAATTAATTTATTTCAAAAATATCGACTCATAATGACGTAGATATCAATAGTTGAATGGAGAAGGCGCAAATGTCGTAAAAATAGCATCAAATTGTGCCTTTGATCTCAAAGTCAAATTATTTCTGGTGCATATTACCCATGCATATTAACTTCGAGATTTCCCATGACTTGTAGTAATCAATTATGTGTTAAAAAGGTTTACAATAATACTGAATCAAATAAAGAAATATGCAACAAAGTCAATCTTACTGTTGCTGTAAACCGATTTCCACTTACGCATTTACCACGAATAAAGTAAGTAAATTTAGCTTAACCTAAAACTAATCTTTGTTCACCTCAATAATTGCTTCAACTTAATCTAACTTCGGAGGAGCATAACCTCAACTGACCTAACCAAACGACACAACATGACCTCATCTAACCTGACATGCATAAACTTCTATGGCGGATATTTCTATTAAATTCTTGCGAAAGAGAGTTCTTCTTGACAAAATCACTCATACAAGCGTAATGAAACATGTTATTAAAGTAATTAATAAAAAACTTTGAACTATACAATTATAGTGCTGCAATAATCATTTTAAGTTTTGATATATAGTGTTTGCAATGCGCTAAAACTTAATTTAAAATTGAGGGTTCTTATAAGCAAGGTTTCATTTTTTTATCGTATGCTGTCCTAGACTTTATGGTATATTTTGTTCAGTTTGACCGTAAGTATTGTTATTTGATGCAAAACCACAATAACTTTGCTTTAATTGGTGTTTGAACAAGTTTTCTTGAAAATTGTTTGTTCTAACATGAAAATTAGCTTATATCAATGGTCAAAGGAATTTTCATATTACACCAAAATTATGCGTTAGTTAACTTTCACACTGAAATTTAAAAACAAATATTGCAGATAATCACTATAACGGTAGTAATAATCTTGAACTTTGAACTTTCATATTACACCAAAAATTATGCATAAAAGTAATTTTATAATATGAAGAAACTTTAACCATTATTTTTACAGTAACTTTGAGTATGTTTTATTCAAAATGTCTCTTAATAGCATCTTTATAACAGAAATCGATACACACGTGGAAGATTCTGATAACTTTCATACTGAGAATTAAAAAATTTATAACACTATTATTTTAACAATATATATGAAGTTTACATGAATTAGAAACAATTATTCTGCTAATTAAACTAAAGCTACAATAAAACAAGTGGTTAAGCAAGTAACATTCTTTATTAAAATCTAATTTTCTGTTACATATTTTTTGTACCAAAAAGTCTTCTACATAGGTAGTCATCATATTGCTTTAGTGTAAAGGTTGCAGACGTGATGAAGTACACGAGAAAAGTAAATTTGTTAACGCATTGAAGTATTTTGTATAGAAAATTTTCTGCTTAATTTTTCATGTTTTATGTTTTACTGTGAAAAATTTAATTATGTGTTTAGTGAGAAAAAATCGTTGTCTTTATTTTTTCCCGTAATCTATTATTTTTTTAATCAGCAGTATTTACTATTATTATTATTATTGTTATCGTTATAGTCATTGTCATTATTATTAATATTGCCATAATAATAAATATTATTGTCATTTATCAGCGATATATCGAAAATGGCATATGAAATTATCGACTATGATCTCGAAAAAGAAAAAATACGAGATTTCTTGACAACATTTTCCTGCAAAGAAAATGATTCACAAATATTTCCTTACGATAAGCATATTGCTCGACTTACCGAACGAGAAGAGGTATTTTGTTTCTTGTATGAAATTTCTGCGAACTATTGGTATGATCGAAAATAGATTTTTATACGGTTTTCATATTTACGAGATAGAACTCTGGTCTATCTTAGCACTTTTAACGACAGAAATATCAATTTTATATTTTCACTTGGCTTTCACTTCAAGGATATTATATGATCATGGTATCTAGTATGTCTGCACTTTATAAAATGTATCTTAAAAGTGAGTTGACTGCATTTACTTTGATATTCAGAATGAGGAATTGGCATTTTTCAGTTATTGCATCAAAGCTCTTATAGGTTCCTATATATATCAATATGGATGATGTAAATGAATATGATCCTGCACTCTATGTTGCTATTCAGCAAAATACTGGACGTTATCATATGCTTTTTGGTGACATAATAGACTCTTTGATCCAACAAAAGCTAGGTGACAGACAGGTATATTAATTATATTCAGATTAACATGAAGCATAGCAGCTATGTCATGCGACTAAAAAAAAGGTCACATTTGAGTTTTTAAAAGGGTGAAAACATATTTTGTATGAAGATAAATTTATCATAGCTGTTATCTATCTCTAAATTAACTGCCGAAAAAATTTCCTAAATACTGAATTAATCCAAGCTTTATCATGCCTGAGTTAATTTAGTTCGAAAGTTTTAAAAACTGTTATAGCCACCTGTTCGAGACGCCTTAGATGCATTCATATTTCAACGAATTTATATGGATAAAAAACAGGCCCAGAATAAGGAAGAAACAGATGCTGCTACAGAAACAGTAGCTACAAATGAAGATTCACGAAAAAAATACCCTCCTCAGTTATTACGTCGATTGTATGAACTTTAATACTTTAGTAGAACTATTTTAAAAACTGTTTCTGAACGATTTATTTTTTGTTCCAATTTATTAATCTTTTTCAATATTACATTTTTTTGAGTACAGTAATTATTTCCCTAATATATTTGCTTTTCAAATAGAATTATGAGAGAGCGTATAACTATTAATACATCAATATTAAAAATTAAGACAGTTGAAGTGTTCTTTGAAAAATATTGCTATAAAGTTTTATTTCTATAGCGAAGTATACTTCAAAGGAAGCTCGTTAAATAAGCCATTGTCAGTTCGTGAAGTGAAGGCAGCTCATGTTGGCAAGCTTGTTACAATAACAGGTATCGTTATCCGAGCTACAGAAGTTAAGCCAATGGCTTCTGTTATGACGTATACTTGCGATACTTGTGGTTGTGAAACATACCAGCCAGTCAGTTATTTTTTGTATCGTATTTTAAAACATTAGTATTTTTACTTTTTTTTAAATTAAAGTTGAAAGATATTGGTGAAAGATTTATGTGAATTAATACAGTGCCAGGTCGAAAAGTGTCATTAATGAGAATATCGATAAAAATTGTTACCATCTTTCAAGATAATAGGACCAGCTTTTATGCCAGCACTTAGTTGTCCGTCAAAAGATTGTGTCGAAAATAAAGCAAGAGGACGCTTACAAATGCAAATTCGTGGATCAAAGTTTATGAAATTCCAAGAAATACGGATCCAAGAACTTGTGAGCGATGGTTTTATTATGGCTGATTCATTGTGTTTTATTCAGTAAATTAAGTGTCCTTTTTTAGTAAATGAGAAGTTCACACATCTGCTCTAGTATATTTATAGAAATATTGCACCCTAAAATTGATTTCCACGACGCAATTTAAAAATGAAAAGAATAATGGTTGATAATTTTTTTGTGTGTTCATATTTTTTATTCTACTTTACTTTTCAACCCAAATTTTTTATTCAAATTTGATTAAGAGCGAACAAGTTCCTGTTGGTAGTATACCCCGCTCTTTGATTATTAATGTTACTGGAGAAAACACAAGAGCATGTATACCAGGAGATGTTATTCGAGTTTCCGGCATTTTCGCTCCCTTGATGAGAACTGGTTTCCGACAACTTACTGGTGGCTTGACGACAGAAGTTTTCATCGAAGCTCATCATATAGAAAATATCAATATGGTTTCCATTATTTTATTGAAACGTATTGTAGAAAATAAGAATTTGATTCATGTTTATTTACTTGCATGTATCTTGTGTAAAAAATGAACTTTTTTCAGTGTTTCTGTCTCCACAAAATTAAGTGAACTGGTAGAAAATATTTAGATAAAAATGTATTTCTTGATTTTACATTTGATTGTTGTTAGATTTAATAAAACGTCAGTTTTTCAGAATGGTGATAGCATTATTGGAGAGCAGTACGAGCTGACAGATGAAGAAGTAGAGTTGGTTTCACAGGAGAACTTTTATGAGGTGTTAGCTTACAGCATTGCTCCAGAAATATATGGTCATTTAGATATCAAAAAGTCATTACTACTTGCACTGGTTGGTGGAGTTGACAAAAATGTCAGCGGGATGAAAGTCAGAGGTGTTATGTTTTAGCTCATCTTATGCAAGAACTAGTTTTATGAAAATGAAATTCTATTACACTGGTTTAGTTTAAAACGAAAAATAAAATAGTTTTGTGACAAATGTTTTATTCTATTTCTCTTTTAATCTGATCTTCTTTCTTTCCAGTGATCTCTAATCTTAATGCATTAAATGTAATGCGTACTAATAATTAAAGTTAGTGTATCTAGTGAAATTCCATTCAAATCTAGTCCAGTAAATTTTCTTTACTTTAATACAGGTTGTATTAATATTCTCTTGATGGGTGATCCAGGAGTAGCCAAATCGCAGCTTCTGTCTTACGTTAATCGATTAGCAGTCCGATCGCAATATACGACAGGACGTGGTTCCTCAGGAGTTGGCCTTACGGCCGCTGTAATGAAGGATCCTATCACGGGTGAAATGACGTTAGAAGGCGGTGCATTGGTCTTAGCTGATCAAGGCATTTGTTGCATTGATGAATTCGATAAAATGATAGACGCTGATCGAACAGCGATACATGAAGTATGAGCGAAAGTCATTGCTATATTAAATAATTTTTCGACAGTGATGATTTAAATTTTTATTTACAGGTCATGGAGCAACAAACGATTTCAATAGCTAAAGCAGGAATTCTGACTACACTTAATGCTCGTGTTTCAATAGTTGCTGCTGCAAATCCGTCATTTGGACGTTACAATCCAAAGAGGAGTATAGAGCATAATATTGATCTTCCTGCAGCTCTTCTTTCACGTTTTGATCTTCTGTGGCTTATTCAGGTATTTATTTAGATTTTGGTGCTTTTGAATTTTGATTCGTAATTCAAATTTGAGTGAGTTTTATGCATAGGATCGACCAGATCGTGAGAATGACAAGCGTCTTGCGGAACATATTACATTTGTTCACAGAAAAGGACGCGAACCAGAGAAGGATGGTATGAAGCCGCTAGAAATGAATTTGATCAGGTTATATTTTCAGCATTCTAAAACTAGTATTCCGTTTTGAATACCGTATCTGATTTTTAAATGCCGAATCTAATTTTTTAGTTGTTTTTTCGTCATTGATGAATAAAATATCTCTGGCTTTTAATGTGATTTTTGCTTATGGATTCAGAAAAATTATCTCAATTTTCAGTACTGCGCGTTGTTAGTATTCAAAATTTTTTGCGGCTCTAAAAACTTTTGTACTTAAGGCGATACATTGCAATCTGCAAACGGAAACAACCTATTGTTGAAGAGAAGATGTGTGAACGTCTTGTTAATATGTATGTAGATCTTCGTAAGGATGCACGAAATAATAAGGTTGAATATTATAGTTTGAAAGTCTTTCATAAAAAATATTTCTGCTTTTAAACTATTTTTTTTATTTTGTTTCGCTTTCGATTTTTCAGAAATACTCTTTAACTGTTTAGAATTCTACATTTACATCACCCAGAAGTTTGTTGGCAGTTATCCGTTTAAGTTCAGCACTGGCTCGTTTACGCCTTTCCGATACAGTGCAATCTAGTGACATCGATGAAGCAGTCCGGCTTCTTGAGGTCACATTTTGGATGCTGTTTATAAACGAATCCTTAAAATTCCCTTGAGTGTGCAGACACAAGTTTGCAGTCCTTCCATATATTAAAAAGATTGCTGTAACGCTTTGTAGATTTGTTTTATTTTCAGGCTTGCCGATCTTCGGTCGATGCGGAGCAACACAAGCAGCAGCGTGAAATTCCTCTTTTAGATCAGGCTTTTGCTGTGATACGTGACTTGTACCAGGGCACCAGAAGCAGTTCCGACCGCGGTCTTCCTTTACAAGCGGTTTTAAAAAAATGTGTCTCCAAAGGAATCCCTGAAAAAGCTTTACAAGAGTGTGTCGAAGCTTACACTGCTAACGGAGTACTAATGGTTGATCGTCATCAACGGATCATTCTCACCTGTGCGTAACGTTTTGTCTCTTTTGTAAAAAAAGTACCCAGCTATCATCAGTTTGAAATTTTGGTATCAACGAAAATATAAGCGTAGTCCAATTCAATTGATCATCCCTATATATTGCACTTCACATTACTTCTAAAATCTGTTTCATAGGAACTTATAGAAATAAAATTTATGGAACGTGAAAAATATTGGAAAAGTCTAGATTGCATAAACTGTAAACACAAAATGTATTTTCAACTTTTACGGCAATGTAAGATTTATCTCTCTTTAATTTCTCGATGTTATACATCTTATTGTGACATGCGTGTGCGCTCATCCAGATTGATGTGAAGTTTTGTTATGTATAAATGATCTTTTGTGATTCAAATCCATATAAAGTCTGTGTCATAATTTAACTGTTCAATCAGCATAGTTCTCGTTCATTCATTCTCATTTTTTTAACTTATTTTTTTTTTCAAATTTTTCATTGCATTCTTTCACTTTTATTTTTATTCTCTTTATTTGCAATCTTCTTTTGCTTCTTAATCATTCACATAAAATATAATTCCTAATTAAATAATCAGATCTACAACACCACAAAAGATGTATACATAACTTATAACACAAAAATTAAACTCAACGAATGTGAAAAATGACGACTACTAGAGGATATACACGGAAACAAGCACAAATACAGTAAATCGTCTAAGAATTAAATATACAAAATGTATTATAATTGTGAAAACTTTAGTATTAAAATTCCTACAGTTATAGTGCATTTTGTACTACAACTTCATAATTATTCCGCTAAATAGCGAAACACTATGGAAAGAATATTTAATAGTGAAACTTATTAACAATCGCCTTTCAACACAAAAATTCTAACTTATACACAAAATTACATTCAAAATAAAAGCTACAAAAAAGAATGAAAGTGATAGAGTAAGTATAATTACTGCATTGATGATTAGTTCGTTCAAAAAGGTCTGAGATTTTGTGGAAGAAAAATGCGCAAGGAGAATATGATAAAGACTAATATCAGTTTAGAAAACCACATAAAATATGACTACGGTCATAGTCTGTTAATTAATATCCATATCGTCCCCACTAGTTTATGAATATTATTTGCCTCTATAAAAGCAAAAATGTGAACAAGGAAAATAAAAAACTTATTCCTTCTGAAATATCTCTGAATTACTTAAAAATGCTTGCAATAAATCTTCAGGTTACGTTTTTCGCAGTTGATCGCAGTCCTAAAAATTAAAGGCATCTCTTATCTGAGACTGAAACTATCACTGATGATAAAACATGGGCATTTTCTGTAGTGATGCAAGAATATGCCAAAGAACGATTATTTTGCAATAAGCTCTTTTTAAGTGTAGTGAGTGTACAGTGATGGAGAAGCGGAGAATGCATTACAAAAAAGAAGAAAACGCTGCACAA